CCTTCCAACGCATGTCAAATTGCCATGGATTATTAATATCGCAGGGTGTGTTAATGAAATGTAAATCCTTCACAAACAGCCATGGATCAGGGGGCAATGAAAGGCGAACGCAGAGCTTTTCCTGAGGCGGAGGGTAATCTTGTGTGTCCAGCAGAAAAGAAGTGCAGCATGGGGGCCGCTGACCCTGAAGGAAAGCCACAGCGCTCTCGCTCACCACCCTGTGCCATGAAGGCTCTGGTGGGGTGGCAGCGTACACAGGCAGGGCGTCAGCCGGCCGGGAGAGATCTCACTGTTTAATTGCGGGATTACAGTGGGATTGAAGTGCAGCAGGACTCATATGAAATTTCGATGGTCGGCTCAGAGAGGGAGAGGGGCTTAGTGCAGGAGCGGAGAGGACAGACAGAGAGGCCGGGTGTCATTAAATGGGTGACTGGCTGACATGATTGGGGGATTTCCTGCGAGATTCCGGGCATCCAGCATCCGGAGGCCTGGCGACAGACGCGAGAAGCAGCCGAGCAAAAGGTCACGCTAGCGGCCACGTTTCTGCACGGTGCCCAGTACCCAGAACCTGAGGAAGGAGCTGCGGAATGGACCGGTGACCAATTAGGACTGGCTGACATCATGAGCAGGCAGAGTCATCTTCCAGGAAGAAATGCCCCGATCTTTGAAACGGATATTTTTTGCTCCCCAGCTATCCTGAGAGATGGACACTGTGGCCTCTGTTTCCAGGGATCTTCAGCCTTCTATCAAACAGAATTATAAAAGTTTCTCCGCTCATCTATAACTAACGCAAGATAGGGGACCATATACAGACAGCCGTCACCGAAGCCCAGGACCAGGAGATGACCTGGATATCGTCGTCTGTTCATCACGGGGGCTGGGGGCCATCTCGTTAGTCACACTTAATAAATAAATGAGCTGTAATACGTGGCAAGTAAGAAAGCATCCAGCCACTGCCGTGGTGTCGAGGCGAAGCGTGATCACGGCTGCCGGTCGCGTGTCTTTAGTGTGCCAAACTCAGGGTAGTGTCCCCACCACCACGTTTCTGTGTCAGTCGTAATCCTCCGGCCGAGGAGTATAATCATTTCGTCGGGGGATTTAACCAACGCGTAGCCGAGCGCTCTGAGAATCCACACGGCATCTCGAATACAGAACACGTATACAGCTAAAATAGCTCTTTACAGAATGTTCGGAAAACTTAGCAGGACCTGCGTAGCTACAGGCTAAATTAAAAATGTAAATAAGAATGAGAGGACACCCTGAGAAACAGGTTATGTCATGTGAAAAATAGACATTAAAACCACAATGCCCTCAGTTTTCACCGCCACTTTAGAGAAAGGTTAATTAAATAGATTATATAAAATGTAAAAAAAAATATATGCTTTAGTAATAATAGAATGTCATTGGCCATAGGTGCCCTTACATTACCTTTTTTCAGAATAATAAACATTAACACATACCCTACAGTTAGTGTGCTGTATAAGTTTTTCTCAGTCAGGGAAGTTTTATTCTGTTCTGGAGTTTTTTTTTCCTTTTGTAGGGGGGGAGGCTTCTTAGATGTATCCTTTTACTTTTTAATATTCACTTCTTTTTAAATTTATTTAAATGAATTCCTTCCAATTTCCTTTATATTCAAATCACAAATTACCCTTCAGATTCGGGTTCAGAGCAGAGGCCGACAAGCTGCGAGTGATGATTCCTGGCGTTTGGAATCGCTGTCCTTGTGTAAGGCCACTCTGCAGTCTCGCTGGAGTAACCGGCGCTGCGGGGAGCGTCGCTACAAAACGCCCTGGAAATGGCGACCCGGGTCTGCCTGCGGCTCCCCGGAGCTCCATCCTTCTGACACCATCCAAATCAGATATGAAAACCTCAGCTGGGTCTCATCAGGCCACAACACATGATTCCGGATGCGGGGAAAATGCGGGGAGTTTGTGCCGCGAGCCGTTTGCTAACGGCCCCCGGGTTGTTTGCTTTATCCCATCAAGGCCATTTCAATCAAGACAATGTCAGGCAATGATTCGGGAAACTTTCTGATCCAAAAATGTCAGCTTCCTTTGGAGATTTCTAGCTGTTGCCCTTGAATTTTCCTTTGGCTTTCAAACCATCTGTCTCGATACACGTGGGACTAGAGAAGCTCGCATCCTCTGCCTGGAAGCATGGGCTCCCCTTCCAGTAGCTTTACATCAGCCGGCAATTGATGAGATAGTGTGAAGTTGTCACTATTCACATGTGATCTATGAAGATCAATGATCGTGCTGATAATTGTTAAGTTACAAATCATTCTCCTGCCTTTCAGCAACCTGAGGGCTGATGTTGGTTTTATATATCTGTCACTTCCTGTTTGATCCTCTGGGAAAACAGTTGAGTCACCTAACCGGTGGGGCATTAACCGTTAACACCGTTGCCGCACACCTCTCAAATCAGGGTTTGAGTCTCCTCCCTGGCCCCACATGTGTGGAGTTTGCATGTTCTCCCTGTGTCATCATGGGGTTTCCTCCAGGTTCTCTGGCTTCCCTTTACAGATCAAAAACATGCTGAGGTTAATTGGAGTTGCCAAATTGTCATTGTGTAAGTAGTGTTGGCACCCCCTCCTGGCATATTCTCGTAGCTGCGGTGATAGACTCCGGACTCCCGTCACCCCGCATAGCACCAGCAGGTATGGCAAATGGATCAATGGATAATCCTGATTATCAACAATTGTGAAATCAGCATCTTACTGATGCATTAAAGCTGAAGTGTGTGATTTGCCATTTATTCAACAGAAACATCGATCAGTGCCAGTTCTTTTTTGTCCATTATTTTAAAGTAAATGCAGACAGTAATGTATATCCATTGAATTACCAAAATAATTGTTGGTCAGTTAAATTCCGGGATGCATAATCTCTTTTATTTTTAAGCACTCAGACCAAGGTATTGAATTCCATTGCTCTGGACTCCACCCCCCCGCATATTTCAGACACGGAATGCAAGTCCCCTCAGTCCCTCGAATTTATTTTGGTTCCTCTCAAATTTAACTTCCTGCCAGAGTAAAACCATGTATTTTGACACTGTTCTTCAGGGGTTTCCTCAGGTCTTGCAGCTGTAACACTGTAACCATATCGCCGGGACTGTGAGGATCTTCCTATCAGCACGCTGTCCGAATCTCTGGGCTGTGAATGTGAGGTCTCTCTATGAGCACGCTGTCACTGCTTCTTTTCATAAACCTGCGTATCTTCACAAATTACCCCATAACAGCTCGCCTAAATGTCGCTCTTTGTAATGGTCACTAACATGATCCTGTTGAGCCTTGGCGGTGGTGTGTCACTATTGGCAGCGGAACGCATCCATCAGCCTGTAACTGGCAAGCTGTGTGAAGACGTTGTGACTCAAGGTCACGTAAGGTCCTGCCTTCACAGTCTCATGGACAGATATGCTAAGAGCCAATGAAGAAACTGCCTGTATGGACATCAGAAAGTTAATATGTAATGGAAGGCCATTCCAGTTCTCCTGCTCCTTTGGTTATGATCAAATTCAGTTCACTTACACAATGTATCGTGTGCCCTTCAAAAATAGCCACTCCAAAGTACATAATAATGAATCTGTAAACATTACGTTCAGGTTAAAAACTACAAAACAGAGACAAAACAGTAATTACCATTGTTTGGTTTTATAATTCTGTTTGGAACTGTGTGTATCTGTTCCATACAGTGCTGACACCTTGCCTGCACCAGTAAGTTTGCTCCAAAATTACACCACTCGCCTTTGTTTTGACCCAGCTACTGAACTGTTGATGTGGTTCCATATTCCCGAAACAGCCCTTGGTACTAACAGTAAGGGAGTCCATGGGGTCGACCTTCTCTGTCTCCTATGTAGGTGTTATGGTTGATGACAGCAAGCTTCCCCGCAGGCCGAAGGACCCCATGGTACCTAATATTCAATGCAGATTATGTCTCTGTTGACTACTGCCATCTCAAAGTCATGCCCAGTCAATGTTCGGTTAGCTCTGCTCTGCGTTAGTCATGTGATCACTCATGGCTCAGAGAACTAAGGAACTAAAAATACAGTTTATATCCTCCTGAGACCCCACCCATTCATTTATGTCCATTGTAGGTGGACATTTTATTTTTGCATCTATCTTTCCACTGATGTAAGGAAACATACTTATTCCTGTTGTACACTAAAGAGGACATGCTGTGAAATTAGAAATAATGTGAAATAAATTTGAAAAAATCTAAATTCTTATTTCCTCCAAAGACAAAAAACCTAAAATTGAAGGACACTTTCTTCCTTGGGTCTCAGGAGGATATAATATATTCAGGTTAAATTGACTTTTGAAAATGTAAAAATACTGTCCAACTTTTAACTGCACTCAAAACTGAATTCAAGCTTCATTAAATACCGTAGCTGACTGATAGCTTGATTGATAAGAGACTACTGAAGTAGGTGAGAAATCACGAGATAACTGTCCTAAGATCTCACAGATAGGCTTCATCTGCAGCTCAGTGTGAACCTGCAAATACGCTCTTAAGGGTAGGACACCAGCTCACCCTTGGCAAGAATTTTAACAGTAAATACTGTAGTAAATCATACATGCAGTTCTTGGGGGGGCAGAGCCCCCGGCAGCCTACTGAAGCCAATTAGGCGAATGCAGGCGAGCAGGTGGAAGCAGACTTCTGCCCCTGAGGTGACCCAGGACAGCTTAAAAGCAAATCATCCTGAAAGCCGTAATTTATGTTCTGTTCCTCAGATATAAACGGGGTGTATAAATGATGCATGTTGTTAAAATGTGTCTTTTTTTTTTTTTTTTTTTTTGCTATGAACTCAATTATTGAATTATGCATAAAGACTACAGCGCCCCACCCACAGCAAACGCCAAACTCTACTCAGCGGAAAGTGAGCCATTACTGGCTAATTTGTACGGAGGTTGGGTTCATTCCCGCGTGGTGTGGGGCCGGTCTGTGCCCCTCCGCTCAGATTAGACGCGGGGGAGGCAGTGTGTGTGTTCATGTTGCTCGACCGTGAATGGAGGCTCCGTATCTTTGCATCCGTCCATGTTACACACACACTTACACACACACACACACACACACACAGAGGTTTGTAACTGTATCTTTGTGGGGACTCTCCATTCATTCCTATGGGGAGAACTCTAATCCCAACAATGACAAACTTAACCCCTACCCAGCCCTAACCTTGACCATAAGGAACCAAACAAAATATGAGACTTTTTCAATTGCTTCACAGATCTTTGTGGGAACGTAAAAAATGGTCCCCACAACGTCAAAAAAAATGGGTTTTTATCACATTGTGGGACACACACACACACACACACACCAAGAAGATTGCATGTGCTGAAAAAGAGGAATTAGAAAAGAATCTTAAAGGGATCTTCTGGCTAGGACTGGTTTACTGACTTTAAGATGTAGTGGTTGGGTTAGGATGGTAGGATGGGGTAGCACACATGCAGGATGGGGTATGAATTTCAGGGCACACTGGTAGATATTTGCGGTTAAAACTGATCATATCTGAGGCCTGAGGAAAGCTGATCCTCTCAGTGGCACATGAGACGTTAAAGGGACATAGAGTGGGTGAAACAGGCCTGCTTTCGGGGGCAGATCTATAGAGAAGCACTCAGGTTCATGTTAATGCCTGCTTCCCCCATGGGACCCGGAGTAAAGTGCCTCACATTGTTGAACAGTGCTCTCCCTGCTTGTTGCATCCCGGGTGTTAGCAGCTAGCCGCTAGTCGCAAGTGTCTTCTTTCGGCCGCATCGGCACCCTGTTTTGTCCCTTTTGCGGTGACCTTGGGACTAGCAGGAAGAATAATGCAGCTGGCAGCGAAAGGGGCTAGAGGTTAGGCTTCATTTTCACAAGGCCCATCCTCTGAGCCGCCTTAGTGGTTGCAGGACGTCAGCTTCAAAGCCTCCTCACTCGACGGGCAAAGGGAAAGCTACTTCAAGACTTTAATCCCGCTCGGTGGAGAGGAATTCTCCTTCTCCATAGTGCGCTCCAAGAATGCTACATCAAACCGGGGATGGGAAAAGACACAGAGCAAATCTCCAAAGAAGGATAACCAAAGATTCTGAGCAAAGAGAAAATAACATTCTAAAAAAAGAATGAGCAGGACTTAAGACAGGTACAGGGCAAGGACACAGCCCCCAAAACAACGCGCCGTGAATCAAGCAATCTTAATCAGGTCTTTACTAGCCTGCTAGATGATGTCTGACTGAGATCTTACATATTTCCTGTAGTAAAGTGGCTGGAAAATCTAATCTAACATATCTTTGAGAGAGGCTTTGTACTAATAATATGCTAATTCCATGATAATATGCATGCTATCTATAGCAGTGGATATATGCTCATTTAAATGCATATATTCAAATTCTGTGATTGATTAAGTCAGTGTGGTACATGTGTACAGAACATGATCCTGATGGTCACTTTCTCTCAGGACCAAGAGGGAGACAGGAACCAATTACAGCATGTAGCCAGTCTCCAGTAAAAACAACAAAAAAAAAAAAAACACTCAGAATTTCATCTTTATAGATTCCTGAAGCCTTTGGTGTTACAAGTTTTTGGGAAGTCAGGGAAAAGCTGCTAGAGAACAGCTCTGTCAAAGCACTTAGAGGAACCGTCATAATGAAATGCTGGACCTCTGGGGTCACCTTGGAGAGTGATCAAAACTGAGAAATTGGAGAATGGAGCATATCTGTCCTCTCGATGGAACTCCAGGATGTGCAGAGTGGGCATCTAGCCTGTATGGAGTTGCCTGGTACAGAGTATGGAAATCATCCAGGGAGAGGGAGGCATCGGCTGTCTCTGATCCCCCCCCCCCCCCC